CCCCTTCCCCCCCCCCCCCGCCCAACACCTGTCAATGCAGCAACTACACTGTTTAAGCCACAGACCAAAGTGGTCCTGGCTTCCCTTCGAAGGTTATGAATACATGCGGGCAACTTTATCAAGTGGACTACTCAAGGTTATTACTAGGGACTGGATCTGCTCCTCTGGCATCATTCAACTCAAAGTGATTTTTAACAAAGGCAGTTGGGTGAACTTAGTCGCCATGAACTCAAACCCATACTAGTGGAAGGTTCCAAGGGTTCTGACCACACTCCCTTTTTTTAGGTAAATGTTATCTTGAGCAGAAGGAAAGAGCACCTCACGAGGTATATGTACCCTATGTTTTGTTTGTGCTGTACACAATGGGGTTTCATGCCTTCGGGGGCTGCACAGCTCTGAAACTATCCCTCCTTCCCTGGGAGAGATCGATCACAAAGTCTTCCAGACTACAAACCGCATTCCACACATTCACTTACCAAAGCCATGAGAATTACAGAGTTGCCAGAAACTAGAGCAAACTGAAGGATCAGGCAGCCTACCCCAGCACACACGTCACCGTGTGTTTTGCTGACAGTGAAACTATGCTAAAGGCAGGAGTTTTATCTGAAGAATCACACCAAGGAAGCACACCTACAATCAGTTATTTTTAACCTCTGGAATGTTACAAGTTGCATATCCATCTAAGCCTTCTTTGTTCATGTCCACTAGGAAAAGGGCCCATTTTTCCCTTGAAATGCCAATCTGGAATTTCCATGGAAGTTGTTAAACCTCACCTTATATCTGCTGAGTTAATAAAACATTTTTAGGGTAGAGTTTATTCATCTTAATCATACAACCCCCCCCCCCACCATGCTACCATCTGGAAACATTGACTTATTGCCCAGATTAAAAAGAAAATCAGTTCTTCAATAATATAATACCCTGAATGGAAACTGGAGTCATAGAAGGAGGAGGTAACCTTTACCTGAGCTTAAAACAAACATGAAGAAAAAGGTGCAGCAAACTTAAAACCAAGAGCTGCTAGGACATCCACATTTCTTGCTCACAGATGACAAAATACATACTTTTGGAACAGAACTATCACCGGGAATTAGGCCCTCCGCTATCCCCCACCATTTAATTAACTCCCCAAACGTCATGCCAAACACACCGCTGCAGCCCTGACCTGTAGAGTCTACTGACACCAGAGTTCAAGTGGGAAGCCGCCCCTAACACAGCTGTGATCACTCCTCTTTGGACTTTACGTGTCACTTACTTTCTTAAGATAATCTTAATAAAGAAGAAAGCGCAGAGGAACAGGAGAAATGAGCAGTGCACACTCTAGCCCTGTAACAGGAATCCTTGGCAGGATGTTCTGGGTCTGGCCACCTCAAAACATTTATCCCTGGCAGAAAAGTAGCAGCGAGGTAACAGAAGTATTTCCAAAACCCGGGCAGGGATTTGTTGTGCCTTCAGTTGGCAGAAGTCTGGAAAATATGACAACAACAGCCATTTCTAACAGCGGCCACCTGAGGGGGTGGTCACTAATGTTTGTCAATTATGATGAGATCCAGCAGCTCTCTGGGAGAGATCTGAATTAGTAGCGTTGAGAGGCTATTTCCTGAACCCCAAATTAGAATCCTTCATAAACTACTGCAGTTTCCTGCTTGGTCCTGAAATAAGAGACAATGGATGAAACCAAGTAATTTTTCACCCTTGCTACGAATTTACATTTCTCAAAACTGAACCAAGAAATTACCAAAGGATCACGAATGCTTAGCCTGTCATTTTGTCCCCAAGTCGCACAACAGTGGAGAGAGTGGAGGCATCACTGCTGTCTTACAACTCTTAACCCCACAAATGCCACCTGTGTCCCTGTTAAGGGAGGGCCATGCTTCCATTTTAGATCTGCTCCTAGGCTGCCCAGAAACTGCGGCCTTCAGACAGACCTGTGCAGTAATGAGGATGATAACTTTGTGAAATGTGGAGAGGAAACATGAAATATTTTAATGTCAGGCTTCTTATCTAAACAAACACATTTACGCTCGTTTCTGTCAGTTGGGACATCTGGACGACAAATGGACTTACGAGTGAGCAGAAAGCTGAGATTTCTTTCCTTCTCCTCCATGCTATCATCAACATGAGTCTTTAAATGTCCTGGGAGATTCTGAGACAGATTTTAATTCTGAACACAACCTCCTAAAAAGCGAAGTATAAAACTATCTTCAACTTCTAATTGGCAAATTTGATACTACCAATGCACGTGTTTAACTGAGATGCATAAAGCCCTTCTCCGCAAAAGGCTTTTGTTTAACTAAAATTGTCACTTTTAAAAGAAAGTTTATGGCTAAAATGTGTATCATCATTACCAGGAGGAACATGATTGTGTCTGGGTGCCCATTTCACTAGAAAGCCGGAAGTCTTCTATCAAATGGGTTTATAATGTGTTTCTTCTATTCTGGTGATTAAACAGTAAGCTCTTGGGGAGTGATTTTTCTTTTTACAGTGATCACCTATCCAATTGTTTTGCTCTGGTATCATAGCCCCAAACTGGAGTTCAACAGTCCTAGACAGAGAGTGTCTAAGAAGTGCAGTTCTTGAGTCCAACCTCCTGGAAAAGTGAAGTATAAAACTCTGGCTCCAACTGCTTGTTCCGGTACTTGTTGACAATGTCAGTGATTTTCTGTTTCCGGCGGACATGTGGTGGGCTGTAGGAGTCACTCTCCAGTCTCTTTCTTCTACAAATATTAATTACAGTCTGCCTCACCAGAAAACCTTGAAAACAGAGGGTATTAAAATCAGCATCAATAACCAGCCATCTGGTGAACTATCAGTATTCAAGTGAACTACCTTCTGCAAAGTCAAACTTACTTCATTCCATTTGGGAAACTCCCCATCCCTGGAGAGACAAAAGTCGACTGAGACAAAGCTGCTAGAACAACTACATAATGACAAGGGGGGGGAAGAAAAGCAAAAATCTGGTCTGACACCCCATTTCCTGCCCTGGATTATAAAACAGCTATCTGCATTTTCCAGGACTGACAGTTTACGAACTGTAGCTCTACTTGTACTTAAGGAGATTAAGCACAGTTAAAACATGACAGAACACAAGAACCACAGAATTTTCTACATAAGGGATCTATTAAGTAATATCACCATTTCCTTATTTCCACTTCTTCTTGGCTCATACAAAATGTTTCAGTAAATAAATGAGAGAAACCTTAACTCTTCAGCCATATATGAAGACCTTACCAAGGGCTCGTCTGCTGACGATCATCCCATCCACAAGAGGGATGACCATGTTAAATTTTCCAGTGGCTCCTTGAATTTTTATCCGGAATAATCCAGTGTTTAAAGGGTGGATAAAGATGACAGGAACTTCTTTTTCAAGAGTCGCAGATCTTAAGAAAGGAAAAGAACACTCCTTTTACCCCAGACACATAAAAGTTGAAGTCCCCCACGTGCAATATAAGAATTTTAAGAAGACTTGATGCCAGGTTTTGTTTGTTCATATATTTTGAGAGAGAGAGCGAGAGAGAGGGCGTGCATGCACATGTTCAGGGGAGGGGCAGAGAGAGAGGGAGAGAGAATCCCAGGCAGGCTCTGCGCACGTAGTGCAGAGCCCGATGCGGGGCTTGATTTCATGAACCATGAGATGGTGACCTGAGTCGAAATCAAGAGAAGCTTAACAAACTGAGCCACCCAGGCGCCCTAATGCCAGGCTTGATGCAGTCTGAACAGCCAACAGGTCAGTCCGCTCGGATCCTCCTTCTGGGAGCCCATATTGCTGCCCCCCCTCCCACTAACATGTAGCCCTAAACGCCCATTACTGGGCTTGGGCTTTTCACACTGACAAAAAAGGGGGGAGGGGCTAAAAAAATGTGTTTTAAAACCACTAAGGACACAGGGTGGAAGAAAAGGCAGAGAAATGTCTGGTGGGAAGCTGTGAATCTAGCAACCGGCTGTGGGACTTTCGCTTAGTTCCTCCTTCTTGTAGGGAACAAAAGCAGGGGTAGCCAGAGTGCAGAGAACTCCTCCAGTCAATGCTGGCATCTCAGAGCAGAAGAGGGAATGTAGGTTAGGGCCACTATGGGGATCTCCAATCTTTTTTTCAGGGGTTGGGGGGGAGGAGGTTGGGAGGACCATTAGTCCGGGCCAGCTACAAGTGTCCTCCTTAGCAGAGGTGATAAATGGCTGTATCTTGGCAGGGCCAAAGCCCTCAAAGCCTCTGAGTAGGTGACAGGTGCTAATGTCACAATTTCACCTTTAGAAGACAGAGATACACATCATGCCATTGCATCTAGAGGTTTCCATGTTATTACTCTGTGATACTTGCTACATGCTGGCCTGTTTTCTGTTTTCAATACAATGAGCTTTCTTTCTATATAGATAAAGTGATTCTAGCCAAAGCAACATTAAGTCAATTTTCAATATGTCATATAAAAGTCAATCCTATAGTTACTTCTGTCAGCAAGACAAGTTGTTGATTTTGCCAGTCTACCAACAAAATACAATTTTTACAGTCTAGTCATAGAACTTTTGACCTAAAAAGATTAAAACAGGGGCGGGCGCCTGGGTGGCTCAGTCGGTTGAGCATCCGACTTCGGCTCAGGTCAGGATCTCTTGGTTTGTGAGTTCGAGTCCTCCATCGGGCTTGCTGCTGTCAGCAGCACAGAGAATGCTTCAGAACTTCTCTCTCCCTCTCTCTGCCCCCCTCCTGCTCACGCTTTCTCAAAAGTAAACATTAAAAAAAGAAGATTGAAACAGTAACAGCACTACCAATACAAGACACTTAAAAGTTCTCTTCCAAACTAGTTCTGGAACAGTCCACCTCATGAACTACTCTAGTCTCTTTAGTAAGTCAGCATCATGGAGACAAAAAGGGCTGTCCTGGAGTAAAAGAGACTGAAGGCATATTACCATCAGACACAAGGTTCTAGAGTGGATTCTTGTTTGAAAAGACCAGTATAAAGGATATTTTAGAGGAAATGTGGACATTTCAATAGGAGCTGGTTATTAGATAAAATTAAGGAACTATTACTAACTTTAGGATTGTGATAACGTTATCTTTATTTGAAAAGTGTTCTCTACTTTTTAGAAATGCAGACTGATATATTTAGAATGTCAGAATACCTATAATTTGCCTTAAAATACTTTAGTATAAAAAAAAAAAGTTTTAAGAATGATACGTCCTCTTCTGGAAATTTAAAAACAGGATGTTAAAATAAATCATTTTTACTCACTTCAATGATATAACAATAATCAAATGCTGTCAGAATAAATTCATCTTACATGCAATATGAACGGATCATGTAGCTTGGAATCAAGGGTAGGTCCCTGCCATACCGGATACGGTTAGCATTTGGGGTCAGACGTCTGGGTTCAGATCACTTTCTCCTTCATTAACTGGATGCGTGATACTGAGGAATCACCTCTATGAACCTATTTTATTCCATTTGTAAAACAGAGATGATAACTGCACCTTGTGGAGTTGTTTTAATGTATTTGTTTAAACCCAACACAAGCAAGCAAAAAGCCTATACAAATACACTGTTACTAATCTTGGAATCCTATTATTTTCTTTTCATCCTTTTTGTGCATGGGCGGCTAAAAACAGAAATCTTACCACTATAATAAAGTATTACACTTTACTTAGAAATATTTTTCCATTAAAGAGCTCGTTGAATTAGGATATGTTAACTATCCAGAATGTCTCAACCAATGTAACCAATTTTACTTCTACCTAATATTGCTAGTCTGTTATTATGGTTAATACTTAGCTGCTTCCAACTGTTCATTTTTCTCTTTGCTGCAGATAAATGTCAACTAGCAATGAATTATGCCACTTCAAAATGCATGCTAATTTATCACCTTGTGCATTTATCCACCAACTTCTTTCTTTGATTCTTTCCCCCTAATTACGTCTATTTCTTATTGTCTTCATCCTTTTTGCTTCATTATGTCTTCTTTATGAAACCACAATCAATACACTGTAACAAATAGGTTTCTCTGTGCTTAAAGACTTGCTGGTGAACCTCAGCCAAATCAAGACTGTACCTCAGAGAAGTGCTACTATTTGCAGTGGTCTCCACACCAGTACTGATCTCCGTCAGTAGGTCTGAAAGGGGAAAGTTTTCTGGAAAAAAGTAACAGCAGGACAATTAATATCTCCCTCATATTTCCAAAATAAATAGCATGAAATCTAACTTCTTAGTCTCTTTATACAAGTGTGCAAAAAATATATGGATTGTGCTATCCTAAAATACATAATCCTAACTATTCCTTCCCCTACCCCCCTCCCCAAAAAAAAGAAAAAGAAAAAAGAAAATCTCCCCCAACACACCCAAGACATATTTTAGCTAAGTTCTTCTAAAGCAGTTTTTATAGAACATGATCTGTGGTCTTTGGGGGCTTGGTTAAAAAGCAACTACCTCACTTTCCCACAAACCCTGAGCTAGATGACATTCTAGGCTAAGTATACATTTCTAATGCTCTTACGATGCTTACATAAAAACCATGAGACACATCCACAGCAGAGTTCCTGAGGACAAATTAATATTTACACCAGAACTAGACAGCAGGGTTTGTGCAGAGGGTGAGGGAAGTTCCCCCCTTTCTCTTTCCACAGGTCCTGGGATGACTGGGGGCTACAGGCAATGGGACCAACTGGCAATAGGCTACTAACTGTGACATCAAGAATAGCTAAAAGTTTATATCCCCTAGTCTCACCAAATCGTCACAACCAGAAGTAAATGGATATCTCCACTGAACAGGTGAGTAATCTAAGGCTTAAAGAAACTGAGTGAGGGGCGGAGTCGGGATGCCAACCCAGGCTTGCTGAACTCCGGCCCCAGCTTCGGCCACCAGACCACACCTGTGCTGCCTCTTCCTACAGACATTCAGCAAGTCACCGTCATCCTACAATAATTTTACGTATGGACAAAGTCCTTACACAGTACCTATATCATCATAGCGCTCCACCCAGACTACAGAAACTCTGGTCTCAGGTCCAAGAGGAGGCACAGGACGACCCTGAGGCAACTTCTTCATTCTGGAACTGGGACTAAGCTATATGAGGTAGAGAGAAGCAGAAACGGAAAAGGGGAAGGGGGGAAAAAAAAGTGACTTAATGAAACCACCCAATCACATATTCATCAAGCTACCCAGTGATGTAAAAATCAGTCATGGGAAATCACTTTAGGAAAAAAGTGAAACATATTTGCAAAACGTTCTTCTTTGGCTCCTCTGTTAATCAAGTCTCAACCTAGAACAAAGAAATGAAGGTCTTAAATTCTTAAAGGAAAAAAGTTAAGGAATACTGAGCAATTATAACTTACATCAACACAAGTAAAATCTGTGGGCAATGTTTTAATGAGGGCTTCAAAGGATTTGAGTCTATCCCTACGGCCAGCAAGCAAGATGCTTTCCTCATCACAGTGACATCACTGGCTTGCCTGGGGATCCTAATCTCTAAAACGTCCACCAGCAAGTTACTTCTAGTTCTCGTTTCTAGGCCAGAACTTTCCTACTGCAATCTAGGCCAAAAAGAAGGCCTTTTTCCTGTCAGCAGAAAAAGAAAGAAAAAAAGAGTTGCTTATGTCATTGCTATCATGCACAGCTTGCTTCTGGCTTCCCTGCCCACCCAATCGACTTTAAGTTTCCCTGAAAGGCTGGCAGGCCTACGTGGTTCCCCTTCAGCAAACTGGCGGCACTCTTGAGCCCCACCCTTGAGGGCATGCAGCAGGGGTGAGTTTATGCTAAAGCCCCAGACAAAGCTATGTGTACAGAAGGCAGAATCTCACATCTAAGTTGAATTTTAAAAATAAAACTGCTTTATTAGCACAGAAATATACCTGTCTTTAGCAGATGACCAGAAATCATGGCACTTCCCCTAGATTTTTGTTTCCATTTTTATTTCTGTCCTGGCATTCACAGAAAATGATTGTGGCTGAGAGATCATCCCCAAATTGGTGGCAGACACCTGCCCCACTCAGAGACTATTTTCTTAGCATGGCTCCTCACCAACTTTGCATCTCTGACTTCTAGCCCTAGATTTAAAGGGCTCCTGTGATCAGGTCAGGCCTACCTGGATCATCTCCCTTTTGATCAGCTCAAAGCAACCTTAACAACTATATCTACAAAGTCGCTTTTTGCTATATAATCTAACATAATCATAAGATATCTTCTCATATTCACAGGTTCTACCCACACACAGAGGACATCATACAGAGGCAAGAGTCTCTGAGGGTCATCTGCCTAACACAGTGACCTCTTCTCCTATAACCTTAATAAACGCACTCAGGGGGCGCCTGGGTGGCTCAGTCGGTTAAGCGTCCGACTTCGGCTCAGGTCATGATCTCACAGTTCGTGAGTTCGAGCCCCGTGGCGGGCTCTGTGCCGACAGCTCAGAGCCTGGAGCCTGCTTCACATTCTGTGTCTTCCTCTCTCTCTGCCCCTTCCTTGCTCATGCTGTGTCTCTCTCTGTCTCAAAAATAAACATAAAAAAATAATAATAAAAAAAAATAAACGTACTCAGTAGATCTAGATTTTTTAAAAAAGATTCCTCAGGGTTTCTATATATACGATCATGTCATCTGCAAATATCTACAGTATTATTTCTCCTTTCCAGTCCTTTGTATTTTATTTCTTTTTCTTGCCATATTTCCCTGTATAGGACTCCATGTTAAACAGAAGTGGTGAGAGCAGACATCCTTGCTGTGTCCTCCATTTGGGGGGAAAGCAGTCACAGAATAGTGTACAGTATAATGTTAGCGATAGGCTTCCAGTAGAGCTCTGTCTCAGGTTAAGAGAATTCTCTTCTGTTTATAGTTTGCTGAAAGTTTTTCTCATGGACGAATGTTGAGTTTTATGGCAACTGCTTTTTCTGCATCTATTGAGATAGCATGATTTTTCTTTTTTTAGTTAGCAGTGTGAAAATTAATTAAGGGAAACTCCACTCAAGTGAAGTAGGGAGGCTAGAAAAGGGAGCTGTACCACCCAAAAGCAATTATAGTTAGAACTGTCAATTACGGATCCCCAACAGAATCATCAACAGGAAAGAATCATCAATTATAGGTTCCACCAGGAAAAGATATACATGGAATCTTCTGCCAAGAAATTGACTACCCCTGCAACTCAGCCAATGAAAAACCTTGGTCCCTCTCATCCCTAACTCTTGCTTTCCTCCAATGCACTTTCACTCAAAATGACCCCTCCCAACATCCTCCTTCTCCATAAAATGATGTTCCTCTCCTCTGTTTGCTGGGCTTGCCTATAGTTTTACCATAAGTTGCATGTCCCAAACTGAAATTCTCTGCTATTCTCGAGTAAATACATTTTTGCTGGTAAAATAAGTTCTTTTTTTTTTTTTTTTTTAAATTTTGGAGAGAGAAAGCACAAGCCGGGAGAGGGACAGAGGCAAAGAGAGGATCTTAAGCAGGCTCCATGTTCAGCACGGAGCCCAACATGAGGCTTGATCCCCATGATCTGGGATCATGACCTGAGCCGAAATTAAGAGTTGGATCCCCAACCGGCTGAGCCACCCAGGTGCCCCCTGGTAAAATAAGTTCTATTTTTAAGGTAGTAGTAGTCTGCAAAGTATAAATAATAAAAACATGGTGCTTTATAGATTTTGGATTTTAAGGGATACCTATGCTAGCATTCAGAAAATGAGTACAAGGGCTGCCAATCACTGAATATTAGATCTGGCTGAAATCCTACATTATCACCTGACACAGACATGTTCATCTACAAACTATTCTATGAAACCTTTTAAATATAGCAACTCCTGATTTTCAAAATTGATCTACTTCAGAGTCTTACACAACTTAACTATTTTTCCTAAATCAATTTTAAAGGTGAATACCTCTCTTGTATTCTCTTTCAAGCATGCATCTATATCTATATCTATATCTATATCTATATCTATATCTATATCTATATATCTATGTATAGATATGTATATATATATAGTTGACCCTTGAACCATGCAGGGGTTGGGCTGCTGATCCCCCCATGCAGTCAAAAAGTGTAACTTTTGAGTCTCCAAAAATTTAACTACTAATAGCCTACGTTGACCAGAAATCTTACCAATAATATAAATAGTTGATTAACACATATTTTATACATTAGATGAATTATACACTATAAAGCTAAAGAAAATAAAATGTTATTAAGAAAATCATAAGGAAGGGGCACCTACGTGGCTCAGTCAATTGAACATCCAACTCTCAATTTCACCTCAGGTCATGATCCCGAGATCATGGGATCAAGCCCTGTACTGGACTCTGCACTGAGCATGAAGCCTGCTTAAGAGTCTGTCTCTCTCTGTCTCTCTCTGTCTCTGTCTCTGTCTCTCTCTCTCTCTCCCACCCCCTCTACCCCTCTCCCCAGCTCATGCTCTAAAATAAAATAAAATAAAATAAAATAAAATAAAATAAAATAAAACAAAAATAATGAAGAGAAAATACATTTACAGTATTGCACTATATTTATTGGGAAAAAAAATCTACATATAAGTAGACCCATGCAGTTTGAACCTGTGTTGTTCAAGAGTCAACTGTACTTATGTTAAACACAACTTTCACTATGGAAGGAGCCAAATTAAAATCCTGTAAAATCAAACAATGGTTCAATCAAGTTTACACTTCTTTTGTCTTTCTTACTATTTGTTATAAATCAATCTTCCCACATTTATGAAATGATCCAATACACTTGCTATCCCTTACTTGTCCACTTTCCAAGTGTAAGGATGAAGAGGTAACATGAGGAGAAAACAAAAATAAAGACATAACATCTCCTGATATGGTAAGAAAGAAAGTATAAAAGTAAAATGCTCCCTTCTCGTAGTGGCGGCTGGGTGCCTCACTCAGTGTATCTATTCATACACTGGGTTAGTCTCCAAAATGCTACCATTTGTACATAGCAGACTTGTTTAAGTGGAATGCTGCATGATTAATTTGACGTGGAACGTATAGCCACTATTGTACCTTTCATGGATATTTCAGGGACCCAATAAAAACGTAGGCTGGGAAGGAACGGGTGAGAGAACCAAGCATGTATGGCCAAATCATGGAATACAACAGAAGCTGTCTTAGAATGACCTATTTGTTGCAAGCTGAAAAAAAAGAAAATCGTGAGAATTTGAATTTTAAAAATTAAGATACTAATGAATCAGTACTGCTGAAATTGCTCTCTGGGTTACGGTTAACAGCTTTTCAGGCATGATTCTATAATCATTTCATAACAAATTTTTAGAGCTGTAAACAAAATGACTTACCCGCTGTGAGGAATTAAGATTGTCAGTGTGATTAGGAAAAAGCTCAAGTGTCAGGGATGGCTGTTTCAGGATCCCAGGCATAAGATCCATATTTGAATCACTATCTTGGTCCGAGATGTTACTTTCCAATGAATCAGCTATGAAGTAAAAAATAAAATCAATTATATCTACTTCTTTGGAGAAGTTTTTAAACTATTTACGCTAATAGGCTGACTTAAGTCACTTAAGAGAAGTCACTGCCTCTAGACAAAGGGTTGGTAAACTTCTTCTGTAAAGGGTCATAGTGCTGGCTATGTAGGTCTCAATTGCATATTCTTCTTTGTATTTTATTTAGAACACTTCAAAAATGTAAAAACTGTACTTCGTCTTCTGATTTTGGTCTGTGTGCCATACTTTTCCAGTTCCTGTACTAAGGGATAACCGAGGTAAGACTAGAAAATATTTTTGACTTTTCAGACGTAGAATATAAGCCATCTGTTATTCTCTGAATTATTCTGATTATACATTCAATCATGGAGCGTGGTACCAAGTAGCAGTGGGGCATTCCAAAGCTGCAGAGGACCTAGTCTCTGTGATTAAGAAGTGATCTGGTTGGAGACAAGCATATAGAGAGTTATAAAAAAAAAAAAAAAGACAAGTCTCCAGAAACAGGAGGAGGCTGAGTTGGAGCAGGGGCACAGGTGCCACACGGGATGTTTCATGACACAAGTGAAGACCCAACTGTGGCAACTGAAGTGCAAAGACAAGGATCGAGCTGTGTCGGTGCAAACAGGCTGGACTAGAGACACCACCAGGGAGGGCCTCAACCCACATAGGACAGATGGAGTCTGGCATCTGAAATCAAGGTGGTAGGTCAAAGCCTGGACATGAAGGCAAACAGCTGCTAGGATACTGACCTAGACCATGGGAGGCCCCTCTTGTCAGGGATATAACTGGCCCTAAAATATAAGATGGGGTGCTAGTGGGGGAAGTCAGGGATCTAAGTACAAAGGTCAGGAGGCTGCCAGAGCAGGGCACAAGCACTCATTAGCCTGGAGATGAGACCATGAAAGTGTGATGTGTAGCAGCCCATCTTACAGATGGTCTCAATGAAGAAGGTGAAGTTTTCCATCTATTGCCTGGTCAGGCACAAAGAAGGGGGCTTAATTTGTAAGAAGCAAAGGTCCTAGGCAAGATAAGACTATGGATTCAGACTGAGAAGTCATAATCACTCCTGATCCTTAAGAAGAACAGGCTTAACTGCCACCTTTTCTGGGCTGTGGAGTTTCTCCCGCTTGGTGTCAGATCAGCCAAATGCTATCACGAGAGCCCTCCAACTGTAGGATTCTCTGGCCGTATAAGGCTGTTACATGGAAACAGGCAAGTAAGTGGGGGCTCATTCATAACGATGCCAGAGAAAGAAATGAATAAACTGGAAAAGAAGCCTTCTATGTATTGATTAAAGAAAGACCAAAAAAAATGGGTTGCAGTTCGTTTAAGATTACTATGAGAGGGTCAGTCTGCCTGTCTTTAACTAGTGTCCTTAAGAAAGTTAAGAGGAGCTAACATCCTACACCTCTGCATAATCTAAAAGCTATCATGCATTAGAAGCTGAGCAATGATGACTTCAGATGACTTAGATGACTTCAGAATCTCTCCCAATGCACAAACCAGTGAATACAAAAATAGATTTTAAAACACCAAACAAAAAATGTTCTTACTTAAGGATTCCACAGGAGAAGGAACTACAAAAGCTATTTCCGTAAGGGCATCGGCATAATACAGCACCTTCTTCTGTCCATTGAAAATGCTAGCCCCAATGTCTTCAGAAGAAATCACTTCATCTAAGAATGAGAAACACTACATTACTGCTCTAAACAGTGGGGAAAATCAGTTTTATCCTACTTCATGAAATTTTAAACGGTCAAATAAAGTGGTAATCAATAGAAGGCATGTTTCCAGCAAGAACCAATTAGTGTATAAGAACAAGACTATAAATATTCATTAAATGTCTTTACACTAACTTTAAATAATAAAACCTTAATTTCACAGTTTCTGAAAGTATTCTAAATTAGGCCACTTCTGATTAGCAGACATGAACTCATCTGTATGGAGCAGATTATGAAAACAGTCTCGTGGGAAGAACTAATAATCCAAAGGAAGAAGACCACCACAGACCTCTGAAAGGAGTTAGGGCAGGTGTCTGGGTCTTTTACACTCTTGCTTTCAAGGCATTTCTGTCCCTGGTCTCTCTCTACTGCTCTTCAGCTCTGCTTCTGCTCTCCCTTCCCCAATCGTCAGTGACAGAATGTAAAATGTACAGTCAGTTAAGCCAACAAGAATGAATTAACAAAAGTAACATTCCTGAGAGCTAGTATAGTGCTCAATTAAAATGAACACAATGGGGGTGCCTGGTGGCTCAGTCAGTTAAGCATCCGAATCTTTTTTTTTTTAATGTTTATTTATTTTTGAGAGAGAGAGAAACAGAGCGTGAGTGGGGGAGGGGCAGAGAGACAGGGAGACACAGAATCCAAAGCAGGCCCCAGGCTCTGAGCTGTCAGCACAGAGCCCAACTCAGGGTTTGAATTTATGAGCCATGAGATCATGACCTGAGCTGAAGGTTGGATGCTTAACCAACTGAGCCATCCAGGCGCCCCGAAGTATTCAACTCTTGATTTTGACTCAGGTCATGATCTCACAGTTTATGGGATCAAGCCCCATGTCAGGCTCTGCGCTGACAGCATAGAGCTTGTTTGGGATTCTCTCTTTCTCTGCCCCTCCCAAAATAAATAAACATTAAAAAAAAAAAAAAATGAACACAATGTCCTACCGGTAATACATAAAAGACCACCAACAAAAAACTGGGAAGAGGAAATAAATGAACAAGTGGCTCTCAGGAAAGAAATAAAAATATGGAAAAATGCTAAAACTCAATCATCATTAAAAACAGAAAATTTCTCACCTAACAATATACAAACTACTGTTCAGTGACCTCTTATGAGGACTAGAATTAGGGGAAGCAAACTTTTCCTTCATATACCTCTGGTTTCTTTCTTTCTTTCTTTTTATAATAAGACTACAAACTTCTAGTGAAGGGGGAGAAATCAAGGATAACAAAACAAGAAAAAACACATGACCGTTATGGGTTTTTACCTTGTTCAGGTCCTTCACCATCATCACAACTGTTAATAGACCAACTGGTGGAAACATGCCCAGTCCAACCGGGGTGTTTGCCCACATCTACCGACCAACCAAGGGAGAGCAAAAATTCTAGGAAATGTGGCTGAACATTTCTGGAAGATTCCACATTCTTTAAAATCTGAAATACATACCAATCATCAGCTATAATGAAGGAAACAAAAGAGCACATCAAAATAAACCTCCATAAAAATCGGTTAGCTTTGAAGTGTCTGACAAATCAAATCTAAGCTCAGAATAAACTTGGGAATTCATCACTATAGTTAAAAATGATGCTTCTAGTTAAGACAGATTTGCATTCAAATCCTGGCTGGGCCTTGGGAGAGTCCCTTAACCTCACTGTTTCAGTTTCTTCATCTATAAAGTAGGGATGCTAATGATGGCTGTGAAGATTGAGATAATGCGAGTAAAGCCCTTAGCTCCCTCTCCAGCTAAACAATTACTGAGCCAGACACGTTTACTCAAAGTAAATAAAAAGTGCTATGTCCCTGTCTTCACAGAGTTTACTGTCTGGTTCATGAGCTACATTACATAGGTATGTGATCATTTTATTACAAATCATGACAAACAATATAAAAAGTACAAATCTATTAAATAGCCCATGAAGATTAGGTATAATTAACAAACAAGCATGAAAACATCCTCCTCTTAGTCCTAAGAAGAGAATGAAGCCATTCCAGAAAAAAATAAGTGACCAGAAGGTTCTCCCCTCTTCGCTAAATACTAGTTTAATACCTTCTTACTGGCCTCAAGAAGAAAAGTACTTTGTTCTACAACAGTGGTGCTCACAGGCGTGTTTTCACTCACCAGGGGGCAGCTGCAATGTCTGAAGACATTTTTGTTACCACAACTTGTGGGGTGCTACTGGTATTTATTGAGTAGAAGCCAAAGATGCTGCTAAATGTCTGATTTATAGGACAGCTCCCCTAACAAAGAATTATGTGGCCCAAAATAGCAATAGCGCTGCTGTTGAAAACCCTATGCTAAAGGAAGGAAAACAAGAAATCCTCTAGAAATTATAAATGAAAAGCCAGGCGGGGGCATGTATCAAAATCACTCAGGGAATATTTTTTTTTTTAACATTTCATTAAACCTTTGGTTTAATAATATTTATAGAGGAGTCTGGGGGCTCAGTTGGTTAAGTGCCGGACTCTTGATTTCGGCTCAGGTCATGACCTCACAGTTTGGTTTGGGAGTTCGAGCCTCATATTGGGCTCTGCACGGACAGAACCTGCTTAGGATTCTCTCTCTTCCTCCATCTCTGCCCCTCCCCACCCATGCTGTGTCTCTATCAAAACAAATAAATAAATGAACATTTAAGAAAATAATATTTATAGAGCATTTAACTTTAATTTTGTATTAAACATTATTCCTGTGTGAGCATAAATGACTAAAATTATTAATTCATTTATTTGCTCTATCGTTCTTAATCTAAGATCATTCAACTCATAATTTAATACCTGTAATTGAATATTAAAAGTATGAACATATGAACTATGTATATAAAACACAAATCATACAACAGAAAAGCAAAAAGCTTAAGAATCACATGACACTGAACACATCAACAGGTATCACTATTTATAGCACTCAAAATCAGCATATAGAGTTTTGAACCATCCTTTAATTCAGAGACAGGTGAGCTGACACGGATTCTATAGGAGCAGGGATACATAAATCTGTCACCTGCGGAATTTCTTAAACATAAGTTTCTTCTTAGAGCACTGTGGACCTCCTACATCAGCATCAGCAGAGGTGGGATCCTGGAATCACTATTTTTAAAAGCTCCCGAATGTGGTATATCAACGCTAATCTATGTCAAGACCATTCAGAGGCCCGATCAAGTCAAAATAAGCATTGTTACATCTATTACTTGTCAATCCACTGGGCAAAAAATCGCCAGCCAGGTCATCTTCTCTTAAATACCCTCGACAGAAGTACACCTATTTAGTCCACCCATAGCCCTTCATATTCACAGAAGTGCCAGGAAATTGATTTGACAACCACTTCCTATTTTCTTCCAATTAAAATTTTTATTCAGAGGGGCGCCTGGGTGGCTCAGTCGGTTGAGCGTCCGACTTCGGCTCAGGTCATGATCTCACAGCTCGTGAGTTTGAGCCCCATGTGGGGCTCTGTGCTGAGAGCTCGGAGCCTGGAGCCTGCTTCAGATTCTATGTCTCCCTCTCTCTCTACCCCTAACCCACTTGCATTCTGTCTCTGTCTCTCTCAAAAATAAACAAACATTAAAAAAAATTTTTTTTTAAATTTTTATTCAGAAGTGAAACTTTAAGTAAACAATTTCTGAAAAGTTAGTCAAGATGCAATACATGAGTCAAATCAACCTGCAGGCCACTGGCTGGCAGCTAGAAATTAATCTAAATCTACCCTGTGGGCAGGGAAGGCAGGGTTCAGACATTCTCTAGGAGGCCGCAGAGAATGTGCACTGTTCCAATCATTCTCAGCTCCTAGAAAGCTAAGGAAACTGAATTAGTTTAAGAGTTACCTCAACAGCAATGGTTTGTGTCTTCTTTTAAAGGAAAGAGAAAAATGGCCCTATTATTCTCCTATGAACCATGCAGCAGACTTCTTCCAAACAAGTTCCTAACCCCTTCAATCCCATTCTGAGGTTCTTTCAAAAGTCTCACCTCTGCCTACCATAAGCCCACATTCTCCCAAGTTCCAAGTATACTGGACTCTGCAATTTTCTGAAGATGGAATTCTCTTTTACCTCCGGGGCCGTTACACATGCTACTACTTTGTTAGTAACAGCCTGCCTTTTTATCTACAGTCAACATAACCTCAAGTATCAGCTAAAATGTCTTTTCCTCCAGGACACGTTCTTAAAATGAGGTTAGGTTTTCCTGTTTATGGCTCCTACACCATGCTTCTAATTAGCACACTTCACTACGGTTATTTACTTAATCATCTGTCTTCCCCCTTAGACAGTAGTTCTGGGACGTCAGAAACCTTGTAGATCTTGCTTACTACTATAACCCTGGCACCTGACAGTGGACACTTAATAAATATTTATTGAATCAATACCTTAAATGAGAAGAACTTTCTCACAAATCAATCTCATTTTCTAGTAGCTCACTAATAATTTGAAATAGTGCTTCTAAATATAAATCAACATTTTGTGACTTTGGTAAATTTCTTCAGGTGTGTCCAATTTGATCAGCTAACAGTCTTATAAGGATTACAGTAAAATTCCAAAATCATGTAGTCCTAATGTCCTACACATCTAATGCTGTATTTGATAAATCTTCCTTTAGCTTCTTCCTAGTCAAAAGCTGGCAACTGCCAGCCTGTTCCATGTTTCAACTATTCATTTCCAATAGACACTTCAAATCCCTTGTCACTTACTCTCAGTTTTCCATTTTCCCACCTTATATTTTTCTTCATCCTTTTCCTAGTCTCTTTGATACATGCATCCAACGTAAGTCTTTTATTTAACTTAGGTTTTACTTACATCTTCCGCTTTAATCTCTTACTTTATCTCGGGTGTTCTTTTCCCCACTGTACATTACCATGCCCCAACTGAAATTACGTGCTTGTGAAATTACCTCGCAGGTGAGCTCCTCAAGAGGAAAGACTGTTACTCACTTCAATACCCTGGCATGGTGCATCACAGAGAAGATGTTCAGCAAGTATTTGTTGCTGCTGTTCTACTCTTAAGCAACTGGGCCTAGCTTTAATTTGTTTGTGGCTAATCTTCTGTATTTCAGTTTCTTTTGTCCTATCAATCTGAATTCCTTAAGGGGGAGAAAGACATACTATGGCTCCTCTCCAATTACAATTTTTTAAGAGTCAAAGGACTCAGTACTCTGGGCAACACGATTTTCATTAATTCCATTTCTGAAATGGTTCACAACAAGTCTTTAAGCATCAATAGTAACCAATCTCCTACTATGGATAAGCACAAGGCAAGTAGTTATTTACAGCATAAAAAAATTACCCACAAATTCAGAAATCTTACCTCCTGGTTTGTTTTCTGACCTGGTTTCATATAGAAAATAAAAACTGTGTCAAAGGGACGACACGGCAAGAGATCCAGATACCCAATGTCATCAAAAAATCCAGGTATCGTGGAGTCAAGTGCAATAAGGTGAGGAGGTAGGCGACTATTTGCAGGTTCCTACCACCAAAGGAAGAAAGGAGAAAGGAAAAATTATTATCCCTTTTCACTATTCTAATTATAAAAGCAATACCTGCTCATAGCTGATAAACATTAAGTTAAAAAATTATTTAAAAATTTATAAGTAGCAGGAATAAGTACAACCATAATCCTAAAAAAACTATTTAAAATTCTTTTGTACTTCTTTCCAATTCTTTCGTCTTTTTTTGTTAAAAACAACTGCAATCATACTATGTATATAGTTTTCGATCCTATTTTCTCTGTAATATATCATGCTGTCTAGAAAAAATTTTTAATGCATTTTTTTTTCTCATTTTATTGCTGGTGGAAATGCAAAATGGTACAGCCACTGTGGAAGACCGTTTGGTGGTTTCTTGCAAAGCCAAACATAGTTTCACCACACAACACAGCAATGACACACGTTGGTATTTATCCAAATGAACTAAAAACTTATGTCTAGCAAACGTCTGTACACAAACATTTGTAGCAGCTTTATTTATAATTGTCAAAAATTAGAAGCAACCAAGATATCTTTCTGTAAGCGAATGGATAAACTACGATACATCCACACAATGGAATATTACTTGGCAATAAAATGAAATGAGCCATGAAGTCATAAGAAGACATGGAGAAACCTTAAATGCATATTGCTAAGTGAAAGAAGCCAACCTGGAAAGGCTACCTACTGTATGGTTCTAACTATATGATGTTCTGGAAAAGGCAAAACTGTGGAGACAGTAAAGAAATCAGTGGTTGACAGGGGTTGGGGGAAGCAGGGAGGGGAGGATGGCGAGAGGCAGGGTATGGTGGATTCTTAGGGCATACTGTAATGGTGGATACACACTGTAACATTTGTCAAAACCTGTGCAATTGTCCAACACAGAGTGAACTCTACTGTAAACTACGGACTTTAGTTAATAATGCACAGATACTGGTGCATCAATTTCAACAAATATACCACACCAATGCCAAATGTTAATAACAGGGCAAAACTGGGGAGGAGAGGCACAGTTGGGGTATGTAGGAGCTCTCTGTCCTTTCTACTCAACTGTTCCGCAAACCTAAAACCGCTCTACTAAATAAAGTCTACTAACTTTTTAAATGAATTTTTTTGTTTTCCCCCCTAATCCCTTTTCTTCTTGGAGATCTTGACCTTGCCCAAGGTTTTGTCATCCACGGTTATTTTTCAGGAACGCATCCCCCAGAATGGCAAAGATTACTCCTTTCTACATTAGCAAGGACGGTGAGCCTGGTCTTCTTGTCTATACCACAACACTTCTAGCAAGGGCTGGGGCAACACCCTGTAACCAAGGACACTATTAATATTTCTGCAGTCAAACAGAAGCGTATTCACACCACGTGAAATAATTAAAGACTACAAATAGCCATGTTGTCAATTCAGGCCAGATTTTGCTACTTAAATGGATTTGCACAAACATACAAAAAAACCTTCTGGTTTTCACTGTTACTTTACTCTGAAATCTTCTATAAGGAACCGTGAACCTGTAGCATGTGGCAAAGCCTTCCAATTTTTCTTTTTTTAAAGCTATCTCATCAGTTTGTTCTTTTAGATGATCTTCTAACGCAGCAACATAACAAACACGCATTTTGCATCTCTTAGTAATTTTTTAAAGTTTTTCCCTGAAGATCTTGTACACCATTTGGGTAACTTTCATCCATATCACAACTGTAAATAGAGTAATTTTGTACTATAGTTTTAACTGGATATTATAGCAATAGTCGTTCATTTTTGTACTTTTCTGTGTGGTGATCTTAAACTCTATTTTAAACGGTTTATTGATTCCTTAGTGATTGTCTAATGGAAGTCATATTACCTGTAAACTGTCTTCTTTCCAATAGTTTTTACTTATTTCATTTAGTATTTCACTGACTTACTCGGTTTTGATATTGTTCTATAGCTACGTAAGATGTTGCTACAGGGGGAAACCTCCCTGTACATTTTTGGGGGCAACTTTCTGTTAACCTGTGACTATGGTAAAATAAAAAATTTTCTGGACTAAAAAATTCTCAGTATTCAATAGTTGTCAAAATAGATATCCTTTGCCTCTGATTTTAACAAAGGGTGCTTCTAATTTCTCACAGGCTGCCATTTACAGATCTACACTACTAGTCCGGGTTTAGTTTTTGTTCGTTTTTGAAAATCCTAATGAATACTGTCCTACTGAATATTGACTTGTTTTATTTATTGACCTAATAGGATCAAATTATTTTCTTAATAGCTTTACTGTACTAATATTTCCCAGTAATAACTAAGTCTCCTTGAGTCTGTAGGATAAACCTTACTTGGTTGTGGAAGGTAATCTGCTTGATACGCTGTTGAATTCAGTTTTACTAGCACTCTCCTTAATACTTCTACACATATATGCATAAGTGAGATTAGTTTACAGCTTTTTTGTATGTGTGTGCTGTCAAGTTTAAGTTATTAGAGTTATAGGCTAAGATTCATAAAACATACCAGGTAAGTTTCTTTTTCCTATGTCCTGACACAGATAAGAAAGCATGAGAATTATTTTCTTGACAGCTTAAGACATCAACTAGAATAGATAATATGAATGGAAAATTAGAATTTCAAGACAGTGCCATCAGGGTTCTTACCTCCTTTTAGTCCACAGAATGTAATAATTTTCTTCTAGTATATTCTTATTTACTGCTTCTACTCTGTTCAATTTTCTCCATTAGGAATATCACTAATCATTTGCAGGTTGTATCTTTGTTCCTTGCCTTCCATATTTGCCACTGTATTTCTCATTATTTTCCTCTCTCTTCTCTTTTCTTCTGCATTTTAAAAGTTTTTAATGTTCATACTCCCCATCACCAACTCACTTTTCTACAACACAGAATGTTTCCCATCTACGTGCTGAAATCCAAAATCAGCAATGTTGTCCCTGCTTTCCTAAAAAGTTACATGGCCTTCAACCAAGTAGCTGCTAGGGAGTGAGGGCAGGGGACAACTTGTGCAATAAGCAATCTCTTGCCTGGCAATCTTGAGCTGTGTTTTTCAAAACAAAGAGGCCTTAGTACTAACCCCAAATCCACCTCAGGCGAGCTATTTCACATTTTTGAGCCTGTTTCCATAGTTGCAAAGTAGGGACAGTACCACTTTCCTTGTAAAACCGTTTTAAGGATAATGGAATTAAGAATAATGGCAATATTGGGGCGCCTGGCTGGCTTAGTTGATAGAGTATATGACTCTTGATCTCAGGGCTGTGAATTCGAGCCTCGTGTTGGGTGTGACGCCTACTTTAAAAAAAAAAAAGGAGAAGGAGAAGCAGGAGGAGAGGGAGGAGGAGGAGCAGGAGGAGAAGGAGAGGGAGGAGAAGGAGAGGGAGGAGAAGGAGAGGGAGGAGGAGGAGGGGGGGGAGGAGAAGGGGGAGGAGAAGAGGAAGAGGAAGAGGAAGAGGAAGAGGAAAAAGAAGAAGAAGAAGAAGAAGAAGAAGAAGAAGAAGAAGAGGAGCAATACTTACCTTACAGGCTGGCTTTGGCTTTGTGCTAAGTACAACATGAAGCATCTTATACAACCACAATGAGACAGACACTTTTATCATCTCCATTTTATAGACGAGGAACTAAGACTTGGAAAAGCTGGGCAACTGCCCATGACCACACAGCTGGCAAGCAATCTAACCAGTCTGATCGCAGAACCTGTACAACTTAAGTTCCTGGCTCACAAATACTTGTTATTTTTTAAAAGTGGCGTGAAAGAGCAGAGTCCGTTCTAGCTCATACCTTTAGTAATAAACGTTGACAGGGGAAGATTTTTAACATTCTTTTCCTCATTACCTGTAGATTTCATTTATATATGTGACACGGGTCGCACATTACTCAGGAAATTTCAGAGCTGGATGTATTATCAAAGCAGCCCCCTCAGTCAGAACTCTGGAAGGATTCATGGGACACACATTCTGGGACTTGTATAGTAAAAACTACATACAGCACCACAGAATTTCATTTACTTACATGCAGAGTAACATTTATTTAATTCCTCCTATCCTCACTAAAATGTTTTAGCTATAATCGACTCAGTGTTAACCTATGAATATATTTACTCATAGAAGTTTAGGAAAATTACCTTCAATGCTTCTAAGGACAAAAATCCAAAGTGTGAAAGGAAGAGGCGTGCCGTTTGGAATTCCTGGGCAGGAGGTGGAGGCTTACAATCTGTAATGGGATCAGGGAAACTTCTCTTCTGCAATTCTTCCTCACTTTGCTGTTCAAGGTGCGTTTCGTAAGCAATCTGCTGAGCCATGCCATTCCTTAATTTTTCATGTCTCTCTTCTAACTGAAATAAACCAAGTATTTCACTTTTTTTTGGAGCTACCATAAAAGTAATCGGATTAATCTTAATTTAAAAGTGAAAACAGGGGTGCCTGGGTGGCGCAGTCGGTTAAGCGTCCGACTTCAGCCAGGTCACGATCTTGCGGTCCGTGAGTTCGAGCCCCGCGTCAGGCTCGATGGGCTGATGGCTCGGAGCCTGGAGCCTGTTTCCGATTCTGTGTCTCCCTCTCTCTCTGCCCCTCCCCCGTTCATGCTCTGTCTCTCTCTGTCCCCAAAATAAATAAACGTTGAAAAAAAAAAAAAATTAAAAAAATAAATAAATAAATAAAAGTGAAATCAAAGGTTTAAGCAACAAAGGCAATGAAATACTTTTCAGTGATCAACACTGAATTTTAATTCAATAGAGTACGCAACCAAGCAAACATGGTTTCAAAGTTGCAACAAATACCAAAAAAACTCCCCTATAGCCTCAGAAATTATGTCCTTCAGCTCCTCGCTGTAAATGAAATCATTCTGTTTCTGCTTCCCCTCAAACAGGCAAGAAAGGGGGCAGCGCTGTTGCTGTCACCCCCCCTCTTCCAGATCCCTGTCCACCTTCATCCTGCAGTGGCGGCCCCCTCATGTTTTAAAGTCTTTGTCCATATGGATTACCCCACCCTCCTCTCAGAGATGCTCCCTGACACCCCTGCCTCCCTTCCCATCAATCCTAGTTTAAACTCCTCTGACGGGCAGTGCTCCTTCCAACAACCTAGCTTGTATTTCTACCACCTCTTGTCAACCTTCACAACTTTGGCCATCCATAAGCACACTTTGTACCTCAGCCATGCTGTACTTTAAAGAGCTAGAATTCTGAAATTCCCTTCTCCAACCATAAGCCTCCTTCCTGCAGCTCTCCCACACCTTCACTCCCTGAGCTGTGCTTTTTCATCACTGTGAGCATTCAATCCCTAATCCCGTTTTCCCAGGCCATTAGCATCCTGGCTTCATCTACCTCCCACCCAAGCCTAAATCCCAAATCAAACATCTTAATACCCTCTTCTAAACATATAAATGGCTGTCTTGTTTCTTACTCTTCCACATTCTTACCTCTATCAATCTCCACACCACTCCAATTTTTTACTTATGCCTCCAGATCCCAAGGACTTCTGAGTAAAGTCAGCAGAGTGAGTTAAGTAATTTCACTACAGACGATGCTACTTAACCTGGGCTGGGCTGCCTGGCAATTTTAAGAGCCATCTTTTATTCCCTATATCACTGCTGAGAACTAAAATTAAAATTTACAGAAGCTCCTTCATTTTCCCTCCTTTTCACCTTTAAATGTCTCTGAACCTCCACCTGCTATCTCCTTCTCTCCCGTCTTGCCAGAAATACCGCTTTCCTAGACACAGTCACATTGAGACTCTTGACCCTACTGCCTCCAGGGCTTTACTCTATTACTTATAATGTTCCCAGCCCATCTTCCAGTGGTAGCAGACATAGGCCCTTCTCCACTGCTTCCTTCCTTTCCACCTCTAAGCATGTTCACATTCCTCCCATCCGTGAGTTTAAAAAAAAAAAAAGAAAGAAAAAAGAAAAGTAAAAACTAGCCTTGCCTTGCCTTAGCTAGGCCATTTCCTCATGCTATCATCCACTCTGTATACTCTCCTTAACTACTAACAGTGTAGTTTATGTTCACTGTGTCTCAGTAACCATTCACCACCCAGACCTCTATACTCTGTCCCCAACTTTAACACTTCTTTGGACATGCTCTCAAAGGTCACCTGCACATTCATGCCAAAATCCAGGGGTCCCTGCTCAGGGCACCTTCTCCCTGAGCTCTCTGGCTGGTATAAGCAGCCTCCATTCCTGCCCTTCTGTTCTCTCATGCCCTGACAGACTTCTGTCCCCACTTCTTAAAATTCTTTTCCTTTGACCTAAGATACCAATTACTTAATATAATTGTCTAAATTAATCTAAAATCACAGAAATTTTTTCCTGTCCTCCCAAACCTGCCCTTTTCCTACCGAATCCGTATTTCTGTAAATAGCACTGATATCTCCTTTGTCACTAAGGTTTGGAATCTAAGTTCTTCAGCTCTTTTCCTTCCCTCATCAATCAAAGACTGCTTGGCTCTGCCTCCACGATACATTCCATCTGCTTCAACTTCCGCTATCAGTCAGCTAGCTGGTCCTTCTTCTCCCCCGCCTGGACTGTCATCAAAGTCTCTAAATTGGGTCTCCCTTCTCCAATAGCCTTCACTGCAGTCTGATCATGGCCCCATCCTGTGGACACCTACCATGGGCCAGCCCAGACAGCCCGGTGACTCCTAAGAGAGTCCAGGTCCTTTCAATCGGCCACAAACTACACTTGTCTTACTACATGGTAACCTGGATGACAGAGATCTAGGTCATCTTAGGAATCATCTCCAATAACACCAAAAAAAGCAGTGTCTAGACCGTGGCGGTTGTTCAAGAATGTTTATAGTCATTCGCTTAACAACAGCTGACAATATCTTACTTCTTCAGTGACAATTTCATGCAAATCTGGAATGCTCAGATCTGCTTTCACAAAAGGAATCTTATCCACCTCTTCAGGAAATGGTCGATGTTTGACGGTATATTTAAATCCAACATCATTTTTAGGAATTGGACGAGGTTCAGGTACAAAAAGCTGTTAAAATAAAACAGATAATGTTATGCGTATTACATTTGGTGCCATCTGTAATGACGTGTATTTCCCTGGTCTCTTAGATGCCTGTTTCGCTAGGACTACCTGACACTGGCACGGAGGATCTGCAAATACCACTGCTAACACTAACGGTAAATAGCTTGCATACCAGTGTACTCTTTCACTTTTATAAAAATGTTCATCAACTGAGATTTTCTGACTGACAAATGGGCTGTATACCTCTAACTGCCCCAGGCCTGACTCTCTCTTACTAAGTGGTAAACCAATGGATGAGACAGTTCAGGGATCAAGGCTCAAACTTCCCTCTGTCCCAAGAGTTCTCAAATCACCCCATATAACAAAGTGTAAGTTTACGTCCTCTGGGCCTCTCTAGACAGTGAGTTCAACTGAACACCAAATCTAGACCCTAATGGCTCCAAATCCCTCCAAATTGTAATACGTATTAAAATGTGTATTAGCTGTGCAGCTTCTGTTTTCACATCTGAAAAGTGGAAATCATCCATCATAAGGCTGTTGTAATGATGAAATAAAAATGTATACGGTACACATTAAAGCATCTATAAATTTTAGTTCCTTTCTTGATCTCCTCCTTCCTCCCGTCTTGAATGCTGACCCAGTGGCCTACAGTGCCGCTGCCAGAATGTGATCTGCATGATGCACCAAGCGAAAACAGAGGTGTGCTCCTCACAGGGTGACAACACATCTAAAAGCGACACCTAGGATGTTAAATGATTTGAGACCCGTGCTCCAATTTTGTGACTGTCTCTCTTAAATACCGGGGACACTTTATGAAGTGATGTTTTAAAGAATTTTTAGTAACATAAGTAAAAGCTTATGCTGTACTAAGTGAAAAGAACAGTATACAAAAATGACTCAAATTCTATTTAATGTTATCATGCACAGAAAGGAAAAAAAGATTGCAAGGAAATCTACTAAAATATTAAGAGTGACTACTTCTGGAAAGTGGGAGTACAGATGCTTTACAATTTCTTACTATCTGAATTTTCCAACTTTCTCCCATGAGCAAATTCTACTCACCAAATTACAAATGTTACAAATAAAATAAACTATGCCACCCCAAATAAGATTTAAATTACACAGCATATTTAAAAAAATTACAGAGCACATTACCAACTATACAGGAATAAGTCACATAAAAATAATTTGAAACTAAGTCCCATTATCTGAGAGATCAAGAGTCTGGCCAATTTCTTTTTCATTTATGGCATGTACCTGAGTTTTGTTATATTTAACACTGCATAAAAAAATGAGGCCACAGCTCAGAACAGTAGTTCTTAATCATAAATGGATGTGAGAATCACCTGGAAAGCTTTCTGAAAATACACCTGCTTTGAAGATGTCTTTAAAGAGTAATTCAGTGGATCTGGGAATTGCGGGCTCCTAAGATGATTCTGATATGAACCACTGACTGAGACCCTGGCTAGGATTGAAAATATTTATTTTATTAATGAATTTTGTTGGAATGTTATGTAACCTTTAAATCATAACACACACATGCGCACTCGCATGCACACACTCGCTCACTCCTAGTCACTTCCCTGTAACTTCTAACGGATACCTTCTGATTTGCTTTTGCTCCTCTGGGTAAAAGGCAAAGTTGTTGTGCCCAAGCAAGTCTTCCAGACATTCCCCGGACCAGCACAGTGACAGAGGGGAAAAAATCATCTAGAATAAAATATTGGTGTAAAAAGTTTTTATTTCAGATGACGACTACTTAAAATACACCTGTTATCAACCATAAAGCCTCTAATAATCAAAGCCCTAGCACAGTGTTTCCCAAACTCTCATCCTTTGTGTACCACCTCTGTGGTTTCTGCCATATCCTCAAACTATAAGTACTTATCTTACTTTCTATCGACCACTTTCTTTTTTAAACTTAAGTCTGTTTCAAAAGGAAATTGTGTGTCTTTACTCTAAATGAAAAACTGAATTTTGGTGTGCCAATAATGTAGTTTTGAACCACGTGTTTAACAATACATAAAATAATGTTCACCAACATGTTGACTAACATTACCTCACATAAATCCATTTTTGGGAAACAAATACTAGCCAATGCTCTTAACTTCCAGTATTGAGAACAACCTAAGTGCAGACAGATGGGTATTTGAAGTGCTGATGTTGCATTCACCCACACCTTATGCCCTCGTGTCCGCCACAGGCAGGCACTGTCCCATCCCAGCAGAAGTTCAGGGGAAGGAAATGGGGGGTGGGGGGTGGGGAGAACTCAGGATGGACTTCCTGAGGGACCCAGGTCCTCCTTCTTATTCCCTCCTTTTGTCCTGATGTGGAGTTAAACTTTTTCAAACTTTGCTTTCTCACTTCTTCTGTTACACTGTTACAATAAACTATTAAAATGTCCTTGTAAATCTATAAAATCCCAATTGTTTGTATTTTTAGTAGACTTCCAATGCAGTGAAATGACTGGGAATGAGAGTACGTAGGAGAGTCCTAAAGAATCTCGAAGAGGGCTGACACTTACCCCTCAGGCCAGGAAACCCAGAGGGGACACTGGGATTTTAGACTCCTTAGCAGTTGGCTTGGGAGTAGGAGGCTGAAGGAATCATGAATAATAGGCACAAGCCAGGGAAGAAAGTCAAGCAAGCCCTACGTCTGGAATAGAGAAGAAAGAAGTGCATGCAGGAAAGAGCTGGAATCAGCACTTCTGGAACTGGGCAATGATTAAAGGCCCCATCTATTTGACATTAAAGTCACTGTATCTTACCACCACACAGTGGAAACTTGTGACGGTATTCACGAATCTCTGAATGATAGGGAAATGTCTCACTTTCATTTTATAGATTCATGAGATCCTACTCATATAGCCTCAACAGAATTTGCACGGGACCGTAAGAGTCTGTTCACCTCTGTAAAGGTAACAAGTCTTTACTGGCAAAATCCTATACTGTGCGATAAGGACAATATAAAGGGACAGAATGAGGCTCAGGAAATTTGGACACTGGTCCTAGTCATACCATGTACTTTTCAAATAACCTTGAATAAGTCACAGGCCCTCTCCGAGCCTCTGTTTCTTCACCTGTAAATCAGGGAATTGAACATGAGGTGATTCCCTGGATTCTCTATGCCCCAAAATTCTATAACCGTCACTTTCTCATAAGCATGAGAAGATGCTTCCTTTACATACTGGCTGATTCTGATTACCAACAGGAAAAAAATGTACTTTGGGGCACCTGGGTGGTCAGCTGGTTAAGCACCCGACTCTTGCTTTCAGCTCAGGTTACGATCTCACGGTTCGTGAGTTCGAGCCCTGAGTTAGGCTTTGTGCTGACAGTGCAGAGCCTGCTTGGGATTCTTTCTCTCTCCATCTCTGCCCCATCTCCTGCTGGCTCTCTCTCTCAAAATAAATAAATAAACTTAAAAAAATATATACGTACTTTGAGTAGCCTGGGTTGCAGTGGTAATCTACCTTGAGACAGCTTATAATTGAGAGAAAGTTGAGGAGGGAAACAGTGCATGTTGTATCAGTGGAAAATCATTAAAGGGTTTTCATGAGGGCACTGGTATGGTCAGATCCATATTTGAGGAAGAATACAATGGTGGCAGGAAGTAGGATGGAGGGAAGGGTAACACATTTTAGAACCGGAAGGAGAGGGATGAGACCAGGTAGGAAGCAACTGCAATAATCTCAGTAAGAAATAATAAGACCCTACATTTGGATGTATTGGGAGGGAGGCAGAGAAAAAAAAAGATTCAAGAGTCACTGAGCAACTGGACACCAATTATGTAAGGGAGAAACAGGAAGGGGCAGGCCAAGAGGACTCCTCAAATTTCCAGTCTGTTTGGGTGGCACCATTAACTGAAAAAGAACAATGTGGAGTGGGTACCAGGAGAGGAGAAGGGCAGGATCCAAAGTTCAAGAAGAATAACAGTAATTTTTATACATGGTAAACAAGAGAAAATACCCCATTAAAACAAACTTTTTGTAGAACTACTTTAGTTCTAGTATTTCAGATACATAAAAGAGCCTCTAAAAGATTCTATTTACTATGTATATTCTATTTTCTGACCCTCTATTTTTCAGTCACTGTAGCTAGAAGACCCTCTGACAAATGCGAAGTTGCTGTGAATCTGCAGTTGTTCCTGTAGCTACAGGTCCCTGACCCTGGAAGCAGCCTGCTAGCAGGGAGCTAAAACACGGTGATTTCGCAGTGGAGAAGACCCAAAGTGCTGGAACTTACTCTGTTCATTTCCAAGAGGTTGCTCCAGCATTGCCAGGATGACACTATTATCCAAGACAAAGTACCGGAAACTATGTTTATTTATGGTTGGCAGCCTGGAGTACTTGATCAAAGTGGTCTCATTCACCAGACTACAAGGAGAAGCGGGACCACTGGGTGAAGGAAATGCGCCGAGCAACTGCATAATACTATGGAGAATGCAAAAGATAACAGTTAATCCCCAAAGCAAAATCTTAAGTTTACCTCATGCAGCAATGTGCCCTTCTGCTCGTTTAAGTGACCACAGCCACACTTCCTCTTTGCAAGTCAGATTTACTCCCTGGGGCGGATGGCTTGGTGTGCTGTCCTGCCTCCCAAGACTGAAAGATCCATTCCCCCAGATGCAGACATGGTGGCCACAGCTTGCAGGTGAGAGTCCCTCTCCAGGACTTGCTCTCAGCCAACAAGAACCAGCTCACCCAGAATCACAGCTTCATCCTGGGACAGCCCACAGCCAGCGAAAGGGCAAGGGCAGTGTGGGCGTCCAAAGCCCCAGCCCCTGGGCCCTAACTGGAGAGAACTCTGAAGGGCTAACCCAGCCCCAGAGCTCTTCGCTGCACCTGCACGCATTCGTCCTTGCCTCTGCTCAGTCCTGCTTCCTTCACCCCCTCTAGGGACTGATCCTAAAAGCATTTTCCAATAAGATTCTTGCAAGGAAATTTCTCTCAGAGCTTCCTACCCAGGGAAACTGACAACCATACTTCCAAATCATGGAGCTCCTAAAGATATATTTAAAAAATGTTCTGTGTTCCAGGTTTCAGGGTTATGCTAGCCAAAGCATTCTAGACCTAGAAAAGGACCCAAAGACCCACCAAACCTCCACTTTTCAGATGAGGAAATTCAGGCTCAGACATGATACGTGATCTTTAAGTAACCAGAAACCAGGGCCTGCTGCCTTCTCACTGTGCGGTCCTGAGTAGACATTATCCTCGTTTTACAGATAAGACTGGAGGCACTAATAGTACATCTCAAAGAACTACTGTAATTATTAAATTCGAATGTATAAGAAAAAAATGCCTCATAAATTAGAATTCAACTTAACAAGCTTTAACATTCAGAAATGTTTATGTCCATAGAGATTTCTGCATACATTCAATTAATAACCTCTATATGGCACTCACCATGAGGCACTGGTCTACATACATTCTTTACACACATTCTTTTATTGAGCTATCAAAACAACAGATAAGTACAGATAAGATAAGTACATTATTCCCATTTTAAAATGAAACAATTAAAGCACAGAGAGAAAGTCTCTTTTAATGAAAACATAAAAATTTTACCTTGTGGTCCTAATATCACCTGACCCTTCATATGCACTTCATTTGGAAAACGAATACTCCCCAACACCATTTTTGTCATCTCGATCCTTGAGTAGTAGCCTCTCCCTTTCCCTTTCATTCTAGTACCGAAACCCAAATATCTCTGATATGGAAGGCAACATTGCTCAGCAGATGTTTTCCATCCATTTTCTCTTCTCTTAGGAGAACTGTCCAAAAATTTCAAAGACCAGGAGAATCTGATGGTGAGTTCAAGCCTTTAAGGAATTGTCGAAAACGGGTGAAATACCAGCAGACTAGAAACAGGAAAACTTGACTTTGTTTTTCTAAAATGGGGCAGAGACAGATGTCGCAAAATATATGGACCATGGGAGTTTGTTGTGTTCCATGCAAGATTCACAGACAGTTATCAAATGGGCTGCTGGCAAGGAACAGGTTACTAAGATCAAATCATACCAGCCTAACCACATTTTCTCTTCTTGACAGTGACCAGACTGGAAAGGGGGAGAACTATGTCTGAAATCAAGACATGCAAGTATTTGACAGTGTACCAGGATAAACTTACAGACAACATTAAAAAATCCCGGTCAACCTGAATGAAAATCTCTGATAATGTGCTTTGTGAGTCTCTTTTCAATGTTTTCATCAGTGTCTTTGACTAGGACACACAGAACAGGCTCACTGACCAAAAGTTGAGCTGCAGAGTTAATATGTCAGAGGAAAAGTTGGGATCCAAATAATGAGGTAAATCTTACGTGAAGAGATCTCAGGTTTAAATGTAAAGTTCTATAGATACAAATACCCCCAAACAAGGAAGTACAGGATGAGAAAAGCAGACAAAAAATAAACGTGTGAAAGACTCCAGTTTTAGTTGACTTGACGCAAACTATCAAGTTCTCAAAAACCCAATGCGGTCGCCAAGTACATTTTTATGAAAATACAATATCCCAGAGAGTGTAAAGATCATCCACCCTCACGGAGAATATTTTACTCAGCAAACCACCTTTAAGAGGTACTTAGTCAAACCCAAACCCACACCATTGAGAGAAGAATGACCAGGACGATAAAGGTACTTGAATCTCTGTCATATGACAAACAGCTTAAGGTACTGGCAGAAACAAATCACCATCTTCATAAGCATTACCTTCAGATGTCATTACTGCCTGGAAAGAGGATTCCACTATCAAAAGTTTGAATTAGAACGAATGGGTGGAAGCTAAAGTGGGAGAGTTCAGCTCAGTGTAAACATCGAGTTTTTAAAAATAAAAATGAAATGGGAGCCTTAGGGGTTAGACTATCACCAAATTAGAGGCCGAATAACCTGGAAGGCCTTACGAGTTGCTTAAGCAGAGGGGCTGCCAAAACGACTTGCAAGAGTCCTAATTCTGAATTTGTATAGTACACTAAGGAGAAAACACCCAACTAGCCAGTCTACACTTCATAACTGCCTACTATTCTGAGCACTGTGAGAAGTGTTAAAGAAGGAAATGTGGACTCTACCCAAGTTGGGGAGACGACACTAGCATGTATCAAATATAACCAGATACGATCATGACAGTATAGAATTCCGTGCTGTGCAATCGGGTCTGACTGAGCACAAAAGCACAGAAGAGTCATCATTCAGAAGCAGAATAACCAAAGAAGGTGCCATGGAGGTAGCTACATTTGATATGAGCACTGAGCAGTGAAGGATGTGACCGAGGGGAAAAGACAGAAGTCCTGAAACCCAGGGAATACACAGAGACAGGTAAGAACATGCCCGGTTCACAGCCACAAATGGCCTGCCAGGTTCTATTATGGCAGAAAGGATGTGCTGAGAAAGATCAGTGTGAGTGGGGACAGGATAAGGAGGGCCTTGACAATCAGACAAGGAGTTCAGACAACATGGCAGGAAACAGATCTATTCAGTTTTCAACCACTCGAGCAGCAAAAAAAAAAAAAAAAAAAAAAAAAAAAAAAAAAAAAAAAAAAAAAAAAAGTGCCCAAGGATGAGTTCAAAAATGGAATGCAAGATAAACAGAAAGGGTGAGATTAAAAACATGGAAATTAGGCAAGAAGTGAGAAGAGTGTAGACTAGGATGCTGAGGTTAGAGGGGACAGAAGAAATACTTCCAAAAATAAAGTCCACTGGACTCAGTCACTGGCTTCACATGGGGAGTGACAGATAAAGCAGAGATAAATCAGGAAAAAAGCTAAAGGTCTGCGTTTGTATAGCCGAAAACCAGCAGTGATGCTGACATAAAGCAGTAATTTTGAGGGAACGAAGAGCTCTGGTTTGGGACAGGTTTCATGATGACAGTACTCTTCAGGGCACTCTTCAAGACTGGTAACTGGAAATACCATTTGTGGAGTTGCCAGCAGGACAGCTGCAGATAAAACAGATGAGTCACCTAGATAACCACTGGCTAGGCTGCCCAGAAGCATCCCAGGTTCACTCCTCATTCTGAGTACATATCCAATGCTCGCTCTCCGGCATACTCTCCTAGGAATGCCCTACCCAGGCTAGGATTGCAGCAAACTGACTTTTGTATGATACAGAGTTCCCAGTAAGAAATGCTCTCCCCTTTTCTTTCTCTCCATATCCTTCTTACTCTTTCAGGCACACATCAACGCTCAGTTTTTTCATAAAGCTTTTCAGTCTAGCCCACCTCTCATATGGTCTTCCCTCTGAACTTTAATTATTTCTAGTACTCAACCGTCTGTGTAAGTACATGCTTAAACAGCTGCATGCCCATTTTTGTGATTTTCTAGCTAAGAGCCAAACCTCCAGAGGTGCACTGGAAGCCCAGTTAGTGCAGTGAGGAGGACTAAAATAAAGCATGCGTGCTTCTAAAAATGTACTAAATGACCAAAGCCCGTGAAGAAGAGAAATAAATCCAACTTGACTGTGCCTGCCCCAAGTTATGAACAGATCACCAAAAAGATTCTGGAATCTTGGTAAGGGCTGATCTACGTACAAATCTGCAAGGAGTCTTCCACCAATGGGTCGAAGCTAAAGCGGGAGAGATTTCGGCTCAATGTAAACATCAAGTTTTTAAAAATAAAAATGAAACTTTTATTAGACTATCACCGAAGTAGAGGCTAACGAAGGCCTACCACTTTATTAAGAAGACCAAGATGAGCCAACCCAGACTGACTGGACATCCTCCTTCCCTCTATTATGTTTTCTGGGTCTTCATCCACACTTACCTTTTCATAGGCTCCATCTTTCCATCTGTATGTGATTCCGATCTTCCCCACTTAACTCTTCCCTTCAGTCCATAATGTGCCTAAACTGCCTTCCGTCCCTTCTTCCACCGTCCTCACTTACCAGCCAAATGTAAACTCTCTCAGCTCTTTCTGCTATTTCTCTAAGGTTCCGACCTGTCTCTATCCCTTCACAACCAAAATGATTAGAAAAGAAATCTCTTGCTGCCTTCTTAACCACTCTGTATCTAGCTTTTGGTGAAACTTCTTCATCCATCCTGTAAAAGTCAGGTCCAGTGTCATCTTGATTTCCCTCTATCTGGAAGTATTCATTTCCTCCTGCCAGCATGTTATTATACCTCTTCTCTTGCAGCACGTATTCTCCACCTAATATTATAGCTATTGTGCTCATGTCTTATCTGCCCTTTTGGACAAGAAGCTCTTTGAGGATGGTGGCTGAATCTGATTTATCTTTACAATCCTATTATAAGTTCGTAAGAGGGAGCTCATAAGTCCTGACTGAATGAACGTCTAATACATACTATAAATGTAACAGAGTACAGACCACTAAGCGAAGAAGCAGGAGACCACAGGCAGATCCCTTCTCAGGACTCAGACACCAAAGTGAAGAGATAAGTAAGGCTCTCCAAGATCCTTTCTAGCTCTAACATGGTAGGACTTCGATCAATGCCAACCAGCCCAGAAAAAAAAGGACCCAAACTCTCAGCCCCACATCCCTGGCTTCTTTTAAAAGGTCCCCAAGACAAGTTTTTCTTTTCCATTTTTTTCTAGAGAAAAAGTATCTTGAGAGGTTGCATCGCTTAATGCTGAACAACTGGGGAGGAGAAGAAACAACAGGGATGACAGCTAACCCCATCCTAATTCCTAGGCACAATCCCTGTGCAGTCACTTTCATACCATGTTAGGGTGGCTTCTGCAGCATCCTTTACCCTCATAGATGCGGGGTTTGGCTCCTTATCTCCTTTGTACTTGACCTCTTGCTCACTGTTCTTGGACTTACTTCCTGAAATTCCCAGTTCCACAATCTCCAATACTTCCTTAAGACAATCCTAGAAGCAGGAAAGGCAGATCAGTTTTTGTAATACACCTGAGAAGACAGGGAAATACATCAAAATACTAATAGTGGTGGTATTTTGCTGACAGGCTCCAGTTTCTTTCTCACTTTCATAGGTGGATATTAATTTCACAATAATAAACTTTGCCCCCACCCCAATTTCTCTTTAAAGAACTGAATTTGAGTGTTCAGAATTAAATAAGTAATGATAAATTCCATACTATTTTATCAGTCACAATTCTTATAAAATTACCACAGACAATAAAATTATGAAAGCCCAAGTTAAAGAGACACAACAGTAATTCAGTTAAACCTAGAGTGGTTTAAGATACATTAGATTATCCAGGGACTACTGGATGGCTCAGTAGGTTAAGCATTCGGCTCAGGTCATGATCTCACGGTTTGTGGGTTCGAGCCCCACGATGGGCTCTGTGCTGACAGCTCGGAGCCTGGAGCCTACTTCGGATTCTGTGTCTCCCTCTATCTGTCCCTTGCCCTCTCAGACCCTGTCTATCTGTCTCTCTCTCTCAAGTTAATAAACACTAAAAAAAATTTTTTTTAATTAAAAAAAAAGGTACATTAGATTATCCAAAGGGAAATTTATCAGTTACTGACATTTTTAAGCAATTCCTGGTATCATAACTTTAGAAGCCATAATGAAAATAACTAAGATTTGGGGCACCTGGGTGGCTCAGTAGGTTGAGCATCTGTCTGACTTCAGCTCAGGTCATGATCTCATGGTTCATGAGTTTGAGCCCTGCATCAGGCTTACTGCTGTCAGCACAGAGCCTGCTTCGGATCCTCTGTCCCCCTCTCTCTGCTCCTACCTCACTCATACTCTTTCTTGCAAAAATAAACGTTTAAAAAAAAAAAAAGTGAAGATTTAATCAACAGTATTATTTTAAGAACTATATAAAGCTCTCCATAAATATTCAATGAGCCTGATAATCTCTTATTTATACTATGAATTCTTGATAACTGCCTGTCTCCCTATAAGGAAGATATAACATGGAACAATGGCAAGAGAAATCAGCCTAGATACCTGTGCCTACTTGAAAATGGAACACATGTGTGAAATGAATTTTTTTTAAGCAGGCTTCATGCCCAGCTTAGAGCTCACCACAGGGCTTGAACTCAAGACCCTGAGATCAAGACCTGAGCTGAGATCAAGAGTTGGGACACTTAATTGACTGAGCCATCTAGGGGCCCGAAATGAAATTTTTATATACAGGCAAACTTTACGGCAATTTATGCTCTAGTTTTGCAGCCGGGATACCAACTGTCCTTTGGAATTTGGCAATGGGTGACCAAAGTGCCCACTGGTCATCTTGAGGCTACCACATCCTTTCAAAAAATAATATTCTTAATAATACTTCAGATAAATTAGTCAAGATTCCAACTTTCTTTCCTTTTATTTTCATTTAAGAGAGAAAGTACATGTGCACGCGAGTGGGGGGAAGGGCAGAGAGAGAAAAGGTTACAACTTTTTTTTTAATATTTATTTTGTAATTTATTGTCAAGTTAACTAACATACAGTGTATACAGTATAATCTTGGCTTCCGGAGTAGATTCCCGTGATTCATCACTTACATACAATGCCTATGCTCACCCCACCAAGTGCCCTCCTCAATGCCCATCACCCATTTTCCCTGCCCCCCCTCCAACCCTCCACCCCCAACAACCCTCAGTTTGTTCTCTGTATTTAAGAGTCTCTTATGGTTTGGTTCCCTGTTTGTAACTTTTTTTCCCCTTCCCTTCCCCTATGGTTTTCTGTTAAGTTTCTCAAATTCCACGAGTGAAAACCTGTATCTGTCTCTGACTTATTTCACTTAGCATAATACCCTCCAGTTCCATCCACGTTGTTGCAAATGGCAGGATTTCATTCTTTTTCATCACCAAGTAGTATTCCATCACACCACATCTTCTTTATCCATTCATTAGTTGATGGATATTTGGGCTCTTTCCATACTTTGGCTATTGTCAATAGCACTGCTATAAACACTGGGGTACATGTGTCCCTTCGAATCGGCACTCCTGTATCCTTTGGATAAATTCCTAGTAGTGTTATTGCTGGGTTGTAGGGTAGTTCTATTTTTAATTTTTTGAGGAACTTCCACACTGTTTTCCAGAGTGGCTGCATCAGTTTGCATTCCCACCAACAGTGCAAGAGGGTTCCCCTTTCTCCACATCCTTGTCAACATCTATTGTTTCCTAAGTTGTTAATTTTAGCCATTCTGACCAATGTCAGGTGGTATCTCAATGGTTTTGATTTGTATTTCCCTGATGATGAGCTATGTTAAGCACCTTTTCATGTGTCTGTTAGCCATCTGGATGTCTTCTTTGGAAAAGTGTCCATTCATGTCTTCTGCCCATTTCTTCACTGGATTATTGTTTTTCAGGTGTTGAGTTTGGTAAG